TGTTGAGTACTTAATCTCTTCTTCGCTCTCTGCTAAATGCTCTACATGTTTTGCTTCCTTGAGTTCTCACTATGATACCTCTGGGGGCAGAGGTAGTCTTGTCCTTTCAATTCTACAGAAGAGACTGAGGGTCAAGACAGGGAAGAAAAACTTGAAGAGGTTTGCACAGAAAGGAAGAGGTAGGGCTGAGCCTTGAACTCACATCTAGGCACTGCTGTGCCTCGCTGTGATCTCAGTCCATGCTCAAATGCTCACGGTCACTGCAAACAACTCAGCATCCAGACACTGCAAGTCTTGTCCAGCCCTGAGCCACAGACCTCTATTTTGAAGGACAATGCTCGCTTTCTCAGAGGGAACCCATGCCAAAGGACTGTTACGAAAAGAAAATAAAAACATGGAAGTGAAAACAATGGAAAGAGATGATGGCAAGAACTGTAGAGTGCCAGTTAGTGAAGTTTATTACCAATTCTTCTCACTCCTTCAGCTCTTCGGTGACACCATTGCCTGCAGCGTGGGGCCAAACACTCACTTTTCATGTGTTGTCATGATAAACTTTGCTGTCTGTTACTCATATGGTGATTAATATTAAAGAATTAGACTTTATTTTGAAGTCATGTACACACAAGAAAATGCAAGAACTATGAAGGAGGAAGGTGGCACAGTGCAGTTCAACTCACAAGTTCTTTTTTTGTTTGTTGTTTGTTTGTTTGTTTGTTTGTTTCGAGACAGGGTTTCTCTGTGTTGTTTTGGTGCCTGTCCTGGATCTCGCTCTGTAGACCAGGCTGGCCTTCAACTCACAGAGATCTGCCTGGCTCTGCCTCCCGAGTGCTGGGATTAAAGGCATGCATCACCACTGCCCGGCTCAACTCACAAGTTCTTGTCATGGTGTCAAAACAGTTTGCATTCAGCAAAAAAGCAGACTTCATTTAAAAATATTTCTTGGGTATATGCCCAAGAGTGGGATGGCTGGGTCTTGAGGTAGTTCGATTCCTAATTTTCTGAGAAACCGCCATACTGATTTCCACAGTGGTTGTACAAGTTTGCATTCCCACCAACAGTGAAGGAGTGTTCCCTTTGCTCTGCATCCTTTCCAACATTGACTGTCATTAGTGTTTTTGATCATTGCCATTCTGACAGGTGTAAGGTGGTATCTCAGAGTCATTTTGATTTGCATTTCTCTGATGATTAAGGATGTTGAGCATTTCTTTAAATGTCTTTCAGTTTGTGAATTCCGACTATGTTCACAGCAGCACTATTTGTAATAGCCAGAACCTGGAAACAACCTAGATGCCCATCAACTGAAGAATGGATTAAGAAAATGTGGTACATATGCACAATGGAGTACTACTCAACAGAGAAAAACAATGACAGCATGAAATTTGCAGGCAAATGGATGGAACTAGGAAAAATCATCCTGAGTGAGGTAACCCAGACCCAGAAGGACAAACATGATATGGACTCACTCATAAGTGGATTCTAGATATAAAGCAAAGAACAATCAGACTGCAACCCACAGAACCAGGGAGGCTATATAGCAGGGGGGACCCTAGGATGACTGTGGCTTATAATAAGTTTAGATTTTACCCAATTACTGAGCAAGCCTCAATGAAAAATTTCACTATTAAGATAAGAATTTATACTGTATCAAGCTGATAATAGATAAATAAATAAATGGAAAATATATTTTCTTCTTAATTTCCTTCCTTCTTTCTTCCTTTCCTTTCTTCTTTTCTTCATTTCTTTCTTTCTTTCTTCCTTTCTTTCTTCCTTCCTTCCTTCCTTCCTTCCTTCCTTCCTTCCTTCCTTCCTTTCTTTCTTTCTTTCTTTCTTTCTTTCTTTCTTGTGTGTATGTGCACACGTTCCTATGTGTGTGCACATGTGCCTGTGTATATGTCTGTACATGTGTGTGCCTACATTCGTGTGTGTGTGTGTGTGTGTGTGTGTGTGTGTGTGTGTGTGTGTGTGTGCCTGAATGTACCACAGTGTACTTGTGTACATTAGAGGACAACTTGAAGAAGTCAGTTCTTTCCTCTCACTATGTGGGTTTTGGGAATCAAATTCATGTCGTCAAGCATGGTGGAAAGTGTCTTTACCCACTGACACATTTTGCTGTTTCCCAGGCTGGTGTTCTGTCTGGCATCTCCTGGCACCCTCCAGAGATGTTGGGCAGTGGTCCCAGCTGCAGTGCCCAGTGAACCACCTGACCTCTGATGCTCTACTCTGTACTGTGTTGCTATGATATAGCTCTCCATAGGTATGTTAAATACATTTTTACTTAACATTTTCAACTTGTGGTAGATTTAGAGAAACATCTGGAGAGTCAAATCACTCCCACCTACCCTGTCAATCAGGTCTCATTCCTGGGAAGAGCCACCCTTGTGACTTGGCTGTCTTCCACACAGTTCTCATACATAAGCAAGCAAACACATGCATATGCATCACCCATGGTGGGAACTCCAGCTCCAAGTTCTGTCCCATCTGTCTTCTCCACCCACAGGCCTCAGGCAATCACTTGTCCGCACCCTGCCTCTATGTTGACCTACATATAGGTTTTGTTCTCATCTATCCAACTATAATTGCACATCATTGAGCCAATGTCTCCACATCCCTCTACCCCCTAATCTCCCAAGATTCATCCCCTCATTTTTTATTAAAAAGATCAACCAATACATTTTTATGTGTATGTTTGTGAATATGGTGTGTGTGTGTGTGTGTGTGTGTGTGTGTGTGTGTGTGTGTGTGGTGTGGTGTGCCTCTCTGTGTACATGGAAGGATGGTGTTAGGTCCTGCAGTCACTCTGCCACCTGCTCCCTTGAGACAGGCTCTCTCACTGAACATGGAGCTAGACTGGCAGCCAGCATGCCCCAGAAATCCTCCACTGCTCCTGTCTCCATGTCCTCACAGCACTGGAGTCAGGCCTGTATGTGTGACCATTTCCAGCTTTTAACATGGGTGTGGGGATTTGAACTCATGTCCTCATGCTTGCACAGCAGGCACTTACATCCTTAGCAGTCTCTCCAGCCCTCTCTCCATTCCTGCCTAGAACCCAAAACCCTTGTGTGGTGCACGAGGCCCTAGGGACACGACGCTGCCTCTGGCTCTCTTGTTACTGCTTCTCCAGCTACACCGTACTTCTTGCAATTCCTCAGGAACGTAAACATGGCTTCATCACAGAGCTCTGCACCACCCACAGCCCCATCTCTTCTTCTACCAGGTCATCAATGGTTCCCCATTTAAGGACTGCTCAGCTGCCATAACTTCCCGTTTTCTCCAACTCCATCCTATGGGACCCTTGCTTTCCTGTCCCCCTCTCTTCAAAGAACACGTGCCATTCCAATTCAATATCGACTTCTGTCCCTCTCCTCTCCCAAAGTACATGTCCCATGAGGACAGACATTATTTGCAGTATACCCCCAGTCCCAGAACTGGGTCTAGTATATAACTGGTACTCAAAACATATTTTCTGAGTGATTGGCCAGCAAGACGGCTTGGCAGGTAGGGGCACTTGCTGCCAAGCTTGCTGACTCCAGTTGATCCCTGGAACCTGCTTGGTGGGAAGAGAGGTCTCACTCCAGCAAATCTTTCTCTGACCTCCACATGCATGCTCTGGGATGCATGCCTCACCCAGGATAAACAAATAAAGAAACATAAACAGATAAACAGAAACATTTTCTGAGTGGTAAATGAAGAGCTAAAAAACCCAAAGTAGGGTTAGGGATAGCTGCGCGGTTTAACAACAAACATTTAGTGGGTATTTGAAAGAGGGAGGCAAGAGGACAGAGGGGAAGAGAGGGAAAGGGAAGGGAGGGGAGGGAGAAAGGAAAGGAAAGGAAGGGAGGGGAGGCGTGGTCTTGAGCATCATTTAAGAAAAGCATCCCACTTGCTCTGATACTCCACTTTGTTCTGATTGTAAAACCTTCACATATTGGGGGTTGACCTTCAGGTGGGAACCCAAAGGGTGGACTCTCTCAGCCACACTTCCTCATCTACATGAGAAAATAAGGTGCGCACTGAGGTTCTGTCCTTAGAAATCTTTTGCAGCATGAAATCGATATCAGTCCCAGGGTATAATTTTGGCTTCAACAGTCAATCCCTGATGTTCCTGACTTAACAATGCTTGATTTGAAGGGAAACAAAAATAAATAAATAAATAAATAAAAAACTCAGACTGCATGCAGAGCTTCTCAGCAATTGGAGTAAATAAATAGTCCTTGTAGGGGGCTCCCGCCTCTCTGCAAAGAAAAAGAACACTGAAAAATGATCAGCCAGGTGGGCAGACATTTTAGAATATGCTTGGTGTAATAGAGGTTCTAGCTGAGAAAATGGTAATTGAGGCTGCCTTGCAGGGGTGATGGGTTGGGAGGCTTGCAGCTTCTTGATGACCCATTGTGGGAATTGACTGGTGGGAGTTGGGAACAGCGGGGAGGGAGAGGGGCCTCATGGCTGGGGAGCTGAGTCCTGAGGAAGGGGCCATCAAGGGGAAGGAGTCCTGGCAATACTACTCTGATGCCTCAAGGACTGCCTCTACACTGTGTGCTGTATTGACAGAATTCCTGGTGCTGGCTAACGCCTAAGGGAAAGAGACTCTACTAGCTCAGTTCTGGAGGCTGAAAGCTCTTGATCAGAAGGCCTCAAATGACAAGTCATCTTGACTGTCAACTTGATGAGAGTTAGAGTCACCTGGAAACACACCTGTAGGCATGACTGTGAGGCTGTCTCCGGAAAAGGTTAACCAAGCCAGGAATTCCCATTCTGAATGCAGGCAGACCCATCCCATGGGCTGAGGTCCCAAGATGAATAAAAAGGAGAAATGGACTGGGAACAAGGAAGTCCCCTACCACACCCATGTTGGGCTTTCTAGTTCCCAAACTCAGTTCTGCAGCTGTTGAGAGTCCTCCCTCTCCAACCATCTGAATGAGTTCATTATTGTAAGACTGGACATAATGGAAAAGGTTCTGATGTTTGCGCTGTCACTAAAGTATTATTGGAACACAGCCACACCCATTTGTCTATACCTCATCTCTAGCAGCATTCCTGTTACAATGACAGCATTATATAGTCACTACCAAAATGTAATGGCTTCAAGAATGGGGGGAAAGCCAGCTGGTCCTTTGCAGAGGAGTTTGCCTACTCTTCTTCTAAAGGATGAAGCCCCAAGGAAGTCTGGACACACAGCTTTCAGAAGGTGGGTGCACGGGAGACTTCTCAGGAAATGGGTGTAGGAGCTTGTTGGTGTGGGGCTTTCTGCATACTGTGACTTGGCCTTCTTATAGGGAATCTGAACCTCTTAGTGACTATGATCAAATGGAGATTGGCTTAGAGGCTCTTCACGGTGAATGACAGCTTCGCCCTGCATCTTGCTCATTGCCACCCGCCCCTGCAGTTTGTAGATTTGCTGAAACATGCCTGCACAAACACATACGCACACATGGACACACTCAGACGGAAGACCCTTGCTATTTCTGGCCTTCTCATCTATTCCTACCCATTCCTCATAGGCCAACTCCTTATGCAGTAAGCAAGCACAACTTTTACAGATCTTCAGTAAGGAGTCAAGGACAGGAGTCAGGCAGCTGCCATTCTTTGCAGTAAGGGGTAAACTAAGAGTATGCTCGGGTTTAGGGACGCCCAAAGCAGACCCTAACCTGACTCTGGGGCATCAGAGAAGTCTTTGTGGTGACAGAGATATCAGAACTAAGTCCCCAAACAGACCAGGAATGAACCATTATGTCAGATAAGGAGGCAGAAGGTCCTGTATGAAGAAGTGGCAAGTGCAGAGGCTGGGGGTGGGTCTAGAGGACAGAGTCCCAGGAACCAGCAGGGAGGCATGGTGTCAAGCTGTAGTACCGAGAACAACAGAGCTCCTGGGCAACTAAAGGATCCCCTCACAGATGGAATAATGGTGAGCAAGAGGGACATGCGGGGCATCTGTAAGTGACCCTGTTTGTGTTGTCTCATGGAGTCACTAGTACACTCAGAGTGGGGACCTAGTCTTTCCATCTCTGTACTCACAGCACACTCCGTCATTCCCTGCATGGCGGAGCACTCAGTTGGTGCTTATAGAATGTTGGAAAAAGCAGAAACTCTTCCAGATCAAGATTCTGGTCCTCTTGGGCTTCTGCTGATCTGCTCCGGGACCCTGGCCAGGTTATGCCATCAATGCCCAGCATCCGCTGGGCCAGCAGAAGAAGGAAAAAGACACTGTCAACATCAAATATTAAGTTAGCAATAGAATCAGGCTGGAAACCATTTTCTCTGCTAAATCCAGTACCCCCTTTCCACCAGGGTTCTCAGAGGGCAGATCAATGAAGAATTTTGCTGTGTGGCTGACTGCACATCCTCTATCAAGCGTGCATATTCATCTTTAAGGAGCTGATCAATTCATTTCAAGACATCATTCTTCCAAAACAAAGCAGAGGCTGATAAACAACACTCCAATGGTGGCTTGGAGATGATATGAATCCTACATAAAAATGAGGAAAATCCTATATGTAAGTGAAGAAACTGACCCTCCAACAGCTAAACTTACTTGTGTTCACAGACCTGGCAAGAAAAGCATAGAGTGCAGATGGAAACACAAGTCTTCCTGAATACCAAACCCATGCACTCACCCACCAACAAGGGATTCTGGGTGTGGAGAAGGCTTTGCTTAGGAGGCAGTAGCCAACTGGAGTTCTTGTGTTCTGCCTCGTACATGGCCTCTTAGACTGAAAGCTTTAGTTTGGGGTGAGCGACAGCTCAGTAGTTTTCAAGGCTCTCCACTGAGTTGCTATGAGAATAGAAACCAGAATATAACTTCCACATTTTTACTGGTGACTTGGGCTGGTTTAAGATGACTGGACAGGACTCATGTATCCTAACTGTTTAGCTTCAGGTCTCTCTCAACCTGCTTCTCCATGGCCAGGCCTGAGTCCCATCCTTCCCTCACCAGTTCTGGCAATGCTGCACTGTGCAGTCTAGGCTAAACCAGTTACTAGCTAGACAGTGGAGACAGCTTCCCATGGTCATGTTTAGTTTTAGAATCTTCATCTCCTGCCCAGAACTGACCACTGTCCAGGAGGTTCTGGGGGTGAGAATACTCCTTTGCTTCAGAAGAAACCTCATCTGGGATTAAGGCACAATACCTGTCTCATCATTAGGTTAAGGTAGGCATGCCACCCAGCTTTCCTTCAGTTTTTCAGATACCTACATTTCTGATATTGCAAGGCCTTTACCCAGAATGCTTTGGTGTGCTTGACTGCTTAGAGAAATGTGAGAACCTCAACCCCTTCCCTACCTCATTTCTTCTTTCCTTCTCTTGGAGGTGACGGTCTGTAAGGAAAACCAAGGTCTCACCATATTCTTCACCTATACTGAGGAGCAGAGACTAGGACCAACAAAACACTGCTTCATAGCTACCATCATTTGCAGCAAACAGGGCAGGCAGTGGGCTGTGACATCGGATATAGGACAAAGAAGGCTGGCTTTCTTCAAGTGCAAAAGTTCCAGAGTGTCTACCATTTCCATCTCCCAGTCCCATTCCCCTTCAAGAGAATCAATGTTTTCTTTTTTGCTGGAACTGAACATCATATTTAAATCCCCACTGTATCATTAAATATGTCTCTTGCCTCCACACCGATTTACCAAATGTATTACTGGCTTTGGCGTGTATCTTTTCTGTAAAGATCTATCTTAATCCAATATTGCCCTATGTCCATTAAGGCACCCCCTTTAAAGATTGACTCTGCGGAACACTCCTTAAGTGTCTTCAGTTTCATCCCCATGGTCAGCTGGAAAACTCTAAAAATTTAGAACAGTGGTAACTTCATGAGTACCTAGTATGTGCACTGTAACTTATGTGATTTAGAACACAAGTTGGTTGCTAAAACATTGCACAGTGGCTAAATGAGTCTTTATCTCTCTGATGTAACAGCATGGTAGTAACGGAGATGATGTGAAGGCTCACAATGTTATAAGTCCCAGCTTCCTCCTGTGTCATTCATTGCTCTGACGTCTTGAGTCTTCACTCTTATGAAAGCTGCAGTCTCATGACACAGCAGCCAGCTGTGGAAGGAATGAAGATAAGGGATGCTACTTTCCTTTATGGAAGTTCTAGATGGCAGCACAGCTTTCCTCCCCGCTCCCATGCCCCCCGCCCAAAGAGTGGGAACTTACTCATAGACCTGTGCTTATCTGCAAGGAAAGCTGGGAAATGTGATCTTTAGTCCAAGAGGCGTGAACTCAGAAATCAGATGTTTCATAAGGAGAGGAAAGGGAACATTTGGATGCTACCAGCAACACATGCCACCAAAATACAAGGTGATTCTAAGTGAGACCAGATTCCAAGGTCTTTGAACCTATGACAAAAACAAGAAACAAGTTGAAAATCAAACTGTCAGAGTAAGAGACAGCTTCATCCAAACCAGGGGTCTCTGCCTCAGTCGTAATATGAGACAACCTCAACTACTTAGATTGTCCTGTCTGTGTGGCAAGGAAGATGGTACCCCAGGGGTACAGATGTGGCTTCTACAAAGTAAAGGGAGATTCTCATAGCAGAACCTCCTGGAGGGTGGTCAGTCCTGGTCAGGAGACGAAGGTTATAAAAATGAACCTTAAATAAGATGGTGAGAAGCTGTCTCCACCCTGTTAGTAAGCCGTTTGGCTGGGACTGCACAGTGCAGCATCGCCAGAACTACTCCTGGTGAGGGAAGGATGGGCCTCAGGGCTGGCCATGGAGCAGCAGGTTGAGAGAGACCTGAAACTGAGCACTCAGGCGAGCAGAGGATGCACTGGTCCTGTCCAGGCATGGTGAAGTATTCTGCTTTGAGTCTTTTAAATCAGCCTCAAGTCACTAGTAAGAATTTGGGAACCGAACTCTTAAATTTTTGGTTGTGAGCCTAGCCTTTAATGGCCAAGCCATCTCTCCAGCCCAAGAATTTGTAACTTAAATTCTAGTTGCTATCCACGTGTGGGAGATTAAGACAGGGTCCATAAGCTGTTCTTAGGGTGCAGTGCACATGCTGCTCTGGACTTCCTTCAGTCCTTAGAGATGCTACAGCCTCTGCTATCCCAGGACCTTGCACACACCTTCTCTTTTCCTGTAGCACCGCCCTCTACAACCTTTGCCTGCACTCTTCAGCTCCCCTTGAGGTATCTTCTAGATCTACAGTAGCCCTGCAAGTCTCCCTAATGCTCACTCTAGTAAGTTACTCCTGACAAACTTCTAAAACTCCTCTGTTTAGTTTAGTTTAGTTTAGTTAGAAGTTTTGAATGCTGAATGCCCAAAGAGTATGTATGGGACAGGCTCTGAAATGGACTCTTCTTACTTTTATCACTTCACAGTGGGGACACATTTGGGAAGAAAGATGACATTATGAAGTAAGAAGCCAAAGAGTCTGGGATCCTGTGGTCTCTTTGGAGGGCATATCTCCAATGACCTAAGGTTCTCCCACCGGGCTCCATCCCTGAAGAAGCCCAACCTCTCAAAACATGATGCTTAGGGGTCAAACTGCATCCCAAAGAGGAACTCCCTGCCCATTGCACGAATGCTTTGCAATTACGCACACTCTGTTTTATTGTTTGATCTGTATCTGTGAGCACCACAGGGACAGGAACAATGTAGTTAGGAAAAAAAATGGAAAACTTACTTTCCTCATGCCTGAGTGATCTTGTAAACTCAACACTAGGAAGGTGGAGACTGGCAGATCCCTCGAGTTTCCTGGCGAGCAAGCCTTACCTAATAGATGGGTTCCAGACCAAGTGAGAGACCCTGTCTCAAAACAAAACTACTAAGATGGACAGTTCTGGAGGAATGATGCCTGCGGTTGTCCTCTAGCCTAATGTGCATACACACATGCACTCCCACATTCACACACAAAGAAAGAACAATTTTAGACTTGCACTGATGATAGAAAATGCCCATAATGAGAAAAATTAAATTCAGGAGCAAATTGTGTAACGCAATTTTACTTCTGTTAAAATAAAGATTCATTTATTCTGTTGACAACATGCATTGTTGTTAGTTTTCAACAGTGGTTGGAATTTACTGAGTGGCTGCTTTTCTCAGGTGGCATGATAAAAGCCGAGGACCAAGTAATGAACAAAACAAACACAGTTTATTAGGTTACCACCACCAGCCCATGGACCACTCTCTCTTGGAATGGTAGCTGGCTTTCTGTCTCTCTAATGAAATACCCGAGATAATCACATTATAAGGAGGGAAGGTTGATTTGGATCCACGGTTTTGTAGCTTTCAGATGGTATGGGCAGACCATTGCTCTGAGCCTCTCGGGGGAGGGACCTGCTGATGGCAACAGCAGAGAGTGTATAGCAAAGCAGCTATTTTCCTGAAAGCCAAGAAAGAGACAGGACAGGAGAGGCAGGGTCCTGGATCCTCTTTAGAGATGTGACCTCAGTGACCTTCAGGCCTCCCACTAAGCCCCACCTCCTATAGGATGTACCACCTCCCAACAGGACCAGCCTGAGAACCCAGTCAGTCATTAGCCCATGGGACTTTGGAGACACTTTCCCAAACCATAACAGCTGATGGTCACTGAAGCCAATGGGTCAAACTCCCTAAGCCTCAGTTTATTCATCTATTAAAAATGACTGCAGTTATTAACAATATATTTATTCTTGAAAATTGCTAAACACGCAGAACACTGCAAGTATATTTTCATGCAAAAAAATCAATAAAATCAGCGATGTATACATAAAATAGTTTAGTCATTCTCCTGTGTGTACATATATCAAAACAGTGTGGTTTATGCCACAAATATATAGAATTTTATAACATTTATTTATTTATTAATATGTGTGTGGATTTCAGAATACAACTTCAGGAGTTTGCTTTATTCTTCTACTGTGTGGGTCCTGGGGATTGAACTCAGGTCATTAGCCTTATCAGCAGGTGCCTTTACCCTTTATGCATTGAATTTTCCCTACATAGAATTTTTTTAATTTAAAAAAATGTGATTAAAAAATTACTGCTCATATTTATTACATAATATCTAGCAGTTTTCTATACATACATACTTAATATGTATAAACACAAGAGGATAATAATAGCAATGAACAGAGATGTGGCCAGGTCAAACTTGAGGCTGCAGTCAGCATATGAGGGCTTGCTACATACATGTTCATCACATCAGAATCTAGTTGTTGCTACTCCAGGATACCAGGGTGCTCCACAGGATCACAAGGCTGCTCAGGTCCTGGGTGAACCCAGCTACTGGAGATCAATACCCACTAAGCTACAATGAAGCACTATGTTCAGCCACTTGGATCATCTGGTCAGTCATTCAGAGCCTATGAGTTTTTTCTGTGGCTTCTAAGGTTCCCACCTCTGCTCCTCCCCATCCTGACACTCGCCTTCTGGAAGTCCCTGGAATACCAAGTGTGCTTCTGTCTGGCCTTGGTACTTTCCTAAAGCAGTCCTCCTGTCTGTCCAGTCTTCTTTCCAATATCTCCCTTCAGAAGAGGCTGAGCAGCCTAAGACTTCCTGAACCTTCGCATCTCCCCGCTGACTTGCTCATGACCACTATGTGACATAATTACATTCTTTTCCTTATTTACCATCGTCTACCCTACTCAGTGTCACCTCCAAAAGAACAGAGACCCAGTTTTTCTAGCCCCTGGCAGAACGTCACCTTTTAAAACTATGCCCAACACAGAGTGGACATTTAATAAATTCTTGTCAGAGCCAGGCGATGCGGTGCATGCTTATAATCCCAGCACTCAGGAGGCTGAGGCAGGAGGACCACAAGTCTAAGGCTAATCTGGGCTACACAGCTGAGACCCTGAATCAAAATCCTAGGGGCTGGGAGTGTAGCTCAGTAATAGAACTCTAGCCTTGCATATGCAGGTCCCTGGGCCACCCCAACACTGAAATACAAATGAATAAATAACTATATGGATGACTATGCCCTGCACCATGCTACCCACAGCAGAGAGTGACACAGTGAGACATACATCTTTTCTATCATCGCTTTGTGGTACTTTTCTTCTTATTCTCCCACAGAATAATTCCCCTGGGCCCTGTCTCACCTGAGAATCCTCTAGAGTTATGAAACCAGCATTCATTTCAATATGCCAGACCCTTCCTTCAGGCTGCTCTTCTACCACAGTGCTGAGTAATTATCTTCCAGAATCTACGAGGGTTCCAATTTTTGATTAAATGCTTTCCTGGCTTTCAACGTTCTGGGCCAGCCAATTAGGCTGTGCCCCTGCCATAGCATCAGCTGGTGCAGTGACTGACGGAGACGAACCTTGTCCTCTTCTTATTTGCAGCGATTTCCTTGAGCGTTTTGATCCAGGCAAGGAGTATGACATTATTGATTTGCTCTGCTCCACTCACCAAGAGCCTCATCTGCAAGAGCTGGGATCTTTATGGCTTCAATAATTTCCCGTAGTGCAGAGAACTCTTTTGTATTTTTTGCTTGGCACTTTGCAGTTCTGTAAATTTTTTATGGACTCTGAGGTTAAATTTTGTCCCCTGTTTCTACATTCATCAGGATGTTGGCTTGGACTCTAAGAAAGGGCATGACCTTTTTCTACCTAGGCGTGTCCCATCCCACCCTGAGAGGGAGATAAAGATGGATATAGAGAAGGAATGAGGAAGGGGGAAATAGACAACAAGAGAGAGAGAGAGAGAGAGAGAGAGAGAGAGAGAGAGAGAGACAGAGAGAGACAGAGAGAGACAGAGAGAGACAGAGAACATTCTATAATTGCTTATATTCTATGTCTTACTAAAAAAGATAAAAAAGAAATAGCTCAGAAAGCTTTAGTGACTCCCCTCAATTACCCTAGCCAATAAGTGGGTAACTCTCCTACCTTTGGGGTAGCCATTGATGATGTTCACCAAAATGTTTTTTCCTCTTCTCCTGGGAACAAAGTAGAATTGCCCTTCTTTCTCCACAGTCACATGATTTTCTAAGGCTAAGAGGGAGTGTACTGCAGCACTTCCAGGTAGATGCCTTTAAGAACTCCTGAGTGACAGATTAATGAGTCCTTCCCGCCCTCCAAGGATAGAGGATCCCTCCACCTGTAACTGTAAATGAAGACAGTAACTCAAGGTCATGGAACATGAGTGGGAAGTAAAGCTATCATTTTTGGCACTGAGTTTGAGAGACAGCCAAGCCTGGTGGTGCACACTTGTGATAACAGCACTTGTGAGGCTGAGGCAGGCAGGCGAATTGCAAGTTCAAAGCCAGCCTAGGCTACACAGGGAGACCCAGTATAAAACAAAGGCAGAGCAAAACCAAACCACGTGGCCACCTCCATAGCAAGAGATTCGGAGCGCTCTGTTTCCACAACACAGCCTAGCTCATCCTCACAGGTACAGACTCCAGCCCAGAGCCTCCAAAGACATATGGAAGTCTTGAGATCCTGCTTGGGTAGCCTGGAAGACTGGGGCAAGGAGAGAAATGGGATCGGGGTTACTTTAATATCAGATTTTCCATCTACAGTTTTGTTTAGAGCAAGAGTTAGCAAAGCTATAAAACAAGGCTAAGCCTTATTTATTAGGACAACAAATCATTCCAAACCTGTTCTTAAGCTTCCTTTCAGGCTCGGATCCGCACACCTTCCTGGTGCCTTGACATCACTTTCTCATCTTTCCTCTGCTCACTTCTTCATTTGCTCACCCACTCATTCAGCTCATGTCTTCTGGGTTCTTGGTGTCTTCAAAGCTTGCTGTAGACACAGAAATGTCAAACTGTTGCACACACTTCCCCTTGCCTTGCCACCAGCCCTCAATTGTACTTTCAACATAGTAAACGTCATTCATGTTGTGAGAGCCAATCAAAATCCTTTGTATCAGAAAACCTTTCTGCTACCCCTTTCCTCCAAAACATTTTCTCTCTGCCCACGACAGGCTGGATTCCTTTGTCTATGGAGCATCTGGTGTTTCCCCAGCTCACACATTTGTCTCCTTCACTAGACTATGCCTCTTCTGAGGTGGGGGTCATTCCTCAGTCCCTCAGTGTGTCAGAAGCTTGAGTGCCCAGATTACAATCTGTGTCCAGTTCATGTATACTGAATGAGGGAGTGAGCAATGTTTGTTCAATCTTGTTATTCTCCCCTATATCACACCCAATATTCCAGAACCTTACCTCTCCAAAATTTATTAAACAATTTAAAATAATTCCATGTCTATCCTAGATCTTCCTCTCAAAAGAGATTATATAATTTTCTCCTAAAATAGGAATGTTATGCATAATCACTGCAAACTTATTTTTAAATTATAGTTATATTTTGTACCTCTTTATGGTGTTTTATGTGTTTATATCACTCCATCATTTATTGTTGTTACATTGTTTTTGAGGTAGGGTCATTCTTTACAGCCCAGGTTGACATAACACTTTTTATACAGCCCAGGCTGGCCTCAGCTTCCTGAGCACTGGGATTATAGGCATGAGCCACCATGCCTATTTCATTTCATAATTTTTCATGGATGCATAAACTTCTGCTGTTTACAAACAATTCAGCAATTCCCTGTGACTGGTCATTGAGGCTTTTTATTTTTTTAACATGTTTGCTATTTTGACAAATAGTTTAAATACTTGGAGACTTCCTCTGCAGACAAATCTTCTCTTATCATTTCTTTCCTGTAATGCATAGTGGTTGGGTCAAAAGATATGAGTCAATGAAATGGTCAAATCCAGAGTTCTAGGGCCTTGTCCAACTGCATGTTCAGGTAAATATTTAGTGTACAGACTTCCCTGGGTGGGCAGGGGTAGAAGGGGAGCTATTTAACACCTCTGTGTTTATCTGGATCAGGAGAAGGAGACCCCATGGATATTCTGATATGTCTGAAGCAAATGGGCCATGACAATTTTTTTTTTCAAGACAAGGTTTCTCTGTGTAGCTTTGCGCCTTTCCTGGATCTCGCTCTGTAGACCAGGCTGGCCTTGAACTCACAAAGATCTGCCTGGCTCTGCCTTCTGAGTGCTGAGATTAAAGGCATGTGCCACCACTGCCCAGCCGACAACTGTTTTATTGAGGGGTGTAAATGTCACTTAATGAGCCTGCCTCCTTAGAAGCCTTAGAATATGCTTGTAGCCAGTGGGAATGTCCTTTTTCTGGTTGCATTTTAAATATAATAAATCGTGCCTGCCCTCATTAGCTCAGAGCTCAGAACGTAACAAGACTTGTGCTGTCCAGCAATCTTTGTCGTTCCTCCAACTACATCTGCACCATCGATCTGTTCAAGTCACCCCACATCGGCTGAGCTTTCTGATGGCCAGCTCCCTGCTCAGCTGCCTTCCTTCCCACACTTGTGTCCAAGCATAAACCCCGCTTTCTGTGTTGTGTTCCTCAACCACATTTGACATAATCCATATTTTCCACTTTAAATATTTATAGCAAACTTGGAGAGAAAACATTCTCTTTTTCAAGCTGCCTTCTAATTTCATTTCACAGTGAAGGTCAGAGCAGCGAACCCTCTCTGCAGGGACAATTCTCTCCTCATTTTCAACAGCATCAAGGACGGAATCCTTTAACCCAACTTCATCCTCTGAGTACCTCCCCACGATCCTCCAAATGCTTCTTATGGGTAAACAGACCAGAAACCACTCACTAAGAGAGGATACTATAATGAACATCACATTGCATCGCTTTTATGGATATAAAAAAAAACAAGTCTGAAGCAACTTCAGACTAGAAATGTAAAAGCATACAGAAGAAGCAGAGGCCACACTTAACCCACCATCCAGATAACCATGTTTAGCAGGCTGGTGTCTACTTTTTAGGACTTTCTTACAAAAAGGGGTTATATGTAACATATATGCTACTTCAAGATTATATTTCACATACCCCTTTGAAAACTTATTTTTCTAATTATAATGTCACTGGGCTCTTGCTCTGGACTCCCCTCAGCTGCCTTGTCCTTGTGGACGAGACACAGAGAGTAAATGCAGAGGAGAGGAGAACATACCCTCAAGGGGGTGAGTGTGGACACTGGCCACAAAGGCCATTTCCTTTATCTACAATGTGGATGAGCTTTATATACTTATAAATTATAAGTTTCTGGAACTGACAGCTTTTTGGGGGGTGTTTTCCTGTCTGAATTGTTGACGGGCTCGTTTGGATGAACTCTTATGGGTATGGGTGATGGGACACCTTTGTACTTTATCGGAAGGCCTCCTGTATAGTCAGTCATCCTTAGAGCTGTGATCCGGGAACCAGGTTTATAGAGTTATCCGTTTATGACCTTCAGGGCAGAGCAGGATGTAGAGCCTCCTGCCAGGGTTAGAGACAGGACCCATGCCTGTTTCCTTTGCCCAGTAATTACAGTCTTATTGTTCCAACTCTTATTTTACAAGCTTCTGATTAGGAGGGCAGGGTCCATCCTCAGTGCCCTCTAACTCTGCTGCCTTCCATCAAGCTTCCTAGCAATAATTGAGTCATGGGATCTTCCTTGTCTTCAAGAGTGTATACGTGTATTTTACTTCTACCATAATTTTTAATGGCCATGGCAAAGCCTGTCTTATATAAGTGTAAGAGATAGTTAGCTAACATACTATCACTAGGTATCTAGGCTATAGCCACTAGTTTGTTATTGTCTTTGAAAACAGCCTAGAGGGGCTGGTGAGATGGCTCCGTAGGTAAACACATTTGTCTCCAAGCCTGATGATTTGAGTTCAGTTCCTGGGACCTGCGTGGTGCAGAGACCCCTACAGCTTGTCAGTGCACTATTGAACACATGCCTCCCTCACACCATAATAATCAATGTAATAAAAATGTTTTAAAATCTTAAAGGCTTGGGGCCTCCTCTCCAGACAGGTGTCCCCATCTAATCTCTTTCATTTAAATTTCCTGATGCAGGTCAGCTAAGGACAAAAGATATGAGCTTTTTAAAAACCTTTCACTCATTTTACCAAAAAAGAAGGACAGAACCAGCCTGTTCACATGAGCAATGCCAAAGTCAATGTCCTCTTAACATCACTAGTTCTGAGCATTAGGACTCCAAGTTTTCAACCATTGGATAGCAGAGGGAGAAAAGAAAAACACAGTTATTACCTGACTTTCTCATCCAACAATATATCCCATGAATATTAATTTTGAATGTTCACTAAACATTCATTTTCTGTTTTGCCAATGTGCCTAATCAGATGTCTCGGCCATCATCCTCATTGGTACTTAGGGATGCTGACATTTTAAATGTAAAGAACTGATGCTGCAAACACTGCTCACTGCATCTTTCATCCTTTAATGCTGTGCTCTTCTGCTGTGGGGATTTAAAACTTGATGTAATAAAATCCATCAGTGTTTTTCCCCCGGGGTGATTTCTTACTTCCGCTTGCATTTTCCAAAAAGAAAAGAAATTTTATTTATATAGCTTTACAAAGGTTTCCATTTGTTTATTATTTATATACACATTCAAACAATGTGAAATTTGTTATCAACCATGAGGTAGGAATCTCATTTTGATTCGTCACGGAAAGCTAGTTTATCTACCCAACAGTTTTAGAGGTACGATTCGATTTTCTTGCTGATTTGAAATGCCACACTAGAAAGTCTAGGATGGTTTATTGTTGTTGTTGTTGTTGTTGTTTGAGTCAGGGTCTCTGATAGACTAGTTTGGGCTCAGATGCTCTTCATAGGCAATGTTGGCTTTCTATTTCATTCTTCCTGCCTGTACTGCCACACATTGAAATTGTAAGCATGTGGAGCCACGTGCAGCCATGTAAATTCTTACAGATGAAATTTAGTATTTCACTAGGCAACAAAGAAAACTGAAAATATTTTAACGAGAATTATATAACATTACTTAACTTCGGATAAATTGGTGGATACCCAGCACCTTTTCATCTTTTATATCCTTTGGTAAAGACTTGCAATTTGACATAGCATAGCATATACCCATTTTTAGTTGTTTATTCCTAGATAACCTGTATCTTCAGTGTGATCAGAGTTTTATTATAATTTGACTTCATTGTTGACTGTCACTGATCCACAGCAAAGCTATCAGCCTTGTGTGTTTAGTGTATACTTGGCATTGTGTCTGAAGATTATTGGCAGTGATAGCCAATGTCATTGCATCACTTCCTGGCTTTTTGGCTAAGATGGAGCTCAAAGTCATGTCACTATACTTCATAGTCATTTTGTTGTATCACAAACAGGAAGAAAACCTGTGGGTGGGTTTTGGGCAGTGGTATAGCACTGGCTAGCATGTGTGAGGCCCTGAGTTGAATACCCAGCACTAGAGAGAACAGAGAAACAAAATAAAACAAAAATTCTACAAGATCTTATGTATCCCAGGTTTGTCCTAAATTTATTATGTAGCTTGCCATGACTTTAAACTTCTGATCCTCATGCCTCTACCTCCTGGTGGGGAGATTACTGGCATATACCCAGTTTATTCTGGGATCAAACCTAAGGCTTCTTGCATGCTAAGCAAGCACTCTAGTATTTTGCTCCATCTCCAGCCCACTCCCTCCAAAACTACTTTGTAAGCCTGGGGTTGCACAGTAGAAGAACTCTTGCAAGGCCTAGGCTTGATATCAGCTCAGAAGAAAGGGCATCGGCCATGCAGATTCATCTGGACAGGTATAAGAACCATATGGAATATCAGAGGAGGGTATTAATTTCATCTGGGGGCTTTGCAGTTGTTGTTTGGTTTGATGTTTTTGTATTTTATGATGCTTTGACATCTCGAGATCTTGCTAACCAAACAGGAAGTAGACTTCCCA